GAACACATGGCATACGCGTGTTGATGTGAAACGCCTCATTTTTTAAGAAGTGGGAAAGTTGACAGAAGTCGAGTAGTTAGTGAAACGTGCAAATCCATGATCACCTAGAAAATAGGAGTAATAATGAATTTATGAGAAGATCTTCTGGAAAATGGCAATGTGAATTAAGGTGGTAATGATGACGATGACGTCAGTGAGAGAGTTTGTACAGTATTGAAAATACTTTCAAAAATGTCACATTTCTCCTTTTGATTCAAATTCGAAACATGGCATTTTGGGGGACAATTTGTTGCCTCAGATTTTTGACACAAACATTAATTATAAAGATATGATAAGGTTCATATGGTAATGGGTTTATTGTCAAAAAAAATAAAGTGATCATTTATAACGATGGAGATCTCGATGAGTTTGATTTGTCGAGAAGTAGTACAAATTTTGGTCGAGTTACAATCAGTCAGAGACTAGGAAGTTTAATGGTTTTGGGACTTAGTGAAATTTAGAGTTTCCAAGTTGTTTACTCCAAAATATCGAATGAGGTGTAAGTGGATACGATCATATAATTATTCGAAGACGTGTGGGAGCTTGTCGAATATGAAGGTTGCATGAAGATGAAGACGTGACATGTTTTGCTTAGTCGGCCATTGTAGACGGTTAACTTAGGACTAGTATATAAGTAAGCATTCGCTTATATTTTAGGGGTTCACAATTGTACACAAATTTTGTAAAACTCAAAGTAGCTATCTGTTTGTGAAAAAAGAGTTAAGAATGTACATATATGTGTTCCAATTGTACAAATTAAAGTCTTTATTTTAAAATCATTTACTGCATTGAAGTTAGTTTCAGTCATTCGGTCTTTTTTCACTTCGATTTTGATGTCAAATTTATTTTAAACTTATAATTTTCACACTAATATGCCATGGAATCTTTTCGATTTTAATCTCTTAAGTGAAATAAAACTTGTTTTTGTTTACTAAATTTCACTGTAAATGTAACACCCTGTTTCGTGAATTAGATGTTTTACTATAGTTTAATTGTTGAATTCCATATATTGTGTGTTTTATTGATTTTAGGATATAAAATTATTTTATTAAATAGTCCTATATAGTTTATTAATGAAATAAATGAGATAATTAGAGTAACATGGCATATAGAGGAATAAGGGGTAGAATTGACAATTGAGAGAATATTGAGGACAATAATGGAGAGTTAGAGGAGTAAGTGAGGGTAGAAGTGAAAAACCATAGAAAGAGGTTATTTTTAAAGGAGAAAATAGAGAGAAGTGAGGTCAGTTTTGCAGTACGTGAAAGTTAAAAAGAGAAGAGTGTTAGGGCAAGAGAAGGCTTAGGAAGAACCATCCATCCAAAGAGTTTGAGAATCAAAGTTGCTAGGAATGACAAGGTAAGGGTGGGTAATGGTTTTCAATTGTGATTGGCCTGAGGGAAGACTAGAATAGAGTTTTAGTTTTTCTTTTAATTGATGATGATTCTGTGATGAAAAATTATGTTAATTGAGTTGTTGGGTATGTATATCTTGATGTTGTAATGTGTTTCTTACACTTGATTTATGTACTATATGGTATGACATATTTTGGGGTTGTTAGGTGTCAAAATATGAGGTTTGGGATCTGTTGCAAGGCTGAAAAATATGAGAGATTCAAAAAATCGCGAGAAAATTGGAGTTTTCTGGGCCCTGCTACGGGTGGTCGTAGCAGTTGCTACGGGTGGGCGTAGGAACCCCTGAATTTTTGTACCAGGAACGTGCCCAGAGTGATTTTTTGACAAAGGCGTGTTGCGGGCCGTGGCCTCTATTACGGGCGGCCGTAGTAGATCCTTGGAATTGGTAATGCGAAATTGTTTTTGCCATAACTTTGTAACCGTAAGTCTAAATCGAGTTTTGTTCGAAGCGTTGGAAAGCAAACGTGAATTACTATCAAATAAAATTACTTCCAGAGGTTGATCATGATAATTATTTGATGTTTTTGATATTTGAAAGAAATGCTGAACTTGAAACTTATTTGTCTTTCAACGATTTTTGTTATATCTTTTTAACCGTATATCCAATTGACGGGCCGTTTGAAGTGTTAGAAAGCTAGCACTTAGAGATATAACATATTAGTAATAAGTGAAATGTTTAAATACTATTTATATGCCTATTGTATTGATGAAGTGTTGGTTTACATGTTCGGATAATGAATCGTGGTATTGTTGTGCTAATGTTGTGTGATAATGATGTTGCTATGTTGACACTATTATGATGATGTTGTTATGATGTGATTTTGATGTTGTTGTTGTGATAATGTTGTTAATGATTTGCATGTATGAATGTATGCATGATGTGTTTATGATGATTATGTTGATGGTGGCATACACGGTCAGAAGAGGGGTCAATGTGTATGTGTTATTGTTGCATGTTGTGAATCATGCATCCATGTTGTCGAAATTTTGGTTATATTTATGTTGCGACCTTGATCATATGGTGGAGATCGAGTGCGAGTAGCTAATTTCTATGGTGGGGAATTAGTGAAGCATTACCTATGTCGGGGTAGCGATTTTGTTGTGCTCCGGTTCCAAGAGGGAATCGATCCTATGGTGGGGATCATGGAGTGAAATGAACCTAAGTGTTCATAATTTGGTACCACATGCATATTGAGTCAGTGCATTGCATTAACATTGCATTCTTGTTGATTGGTTGTTGTTTAGAATGATGATGTTGGATGACAAATTGTGAATTATATAATATCCTTGTATATGATGATGATGTGATGGTTGTGAGTAGAGTAACACGTTGTTGTTGTAAATGGTTATACATGTTTGTTGTATGCTATCTTTCACTTATGTCGTTTATAATTGATTATGATTACTCACCTCTTCTGTTTGAATGTTGTCTCCACGTGGGTAACGCACAGATACTCAGGAGTAGACTCCAAGGAAGTAAGTGGAAGCTAGCTATTGAAGTTTGTCTTCTTAATTTATTATGTTGTTTATTTCGAAGTATTTGCTAATAATTTCATAGTGATATTCTAAGATGTTGAATTAAGTGTTGGCGAAACTTATCATTTGTTGATGTTATGGATATTGGAGTTTAAGACTCAATTTTAGTTGTAAAATCATAATTGAATTTCTTTATGTTGAATCCGCTGCGTTGTTTTTAAAAGAACTTAACGTTGTAAAAGCCTCATAAATGAGTATGTTCGAATTAATATATGTTTTTGTGTAACCCATATTACGGAGCAGGATAATTATAATGTTTTATGAAGTGTGACACCCTTGTGATTGTGTTTATTTAATTAAATTAATCATTATTTTTGTGAAGTTTTAGTAAGGTGTTACAGTAAACGGACAAATATTATTTCTTAGTTTGTTTTGTTAGACTTTCGGTTATAGTATAAAATTTGAACTTCATAATCAAATTTCTTGGATTTACCTACTAAACCACTTGAATTTCGCCTTAGGGTCTGTTTGGTTCAAATGAGGGGGAGGGGAGGGGAGGGATTTTAATGAAGGGGAGGGGAGGGGAGGGGAGGGGAGGTGAAGGAATTTTTTAATTAAATAAGTGTTTGGTTCAAAAGAGAGGGGGGGAGGGGAGGAGAGGGATTTTAATTAAAAATGTGTTTGGTTCAGAAGGGGAGGGGAGGGGTTTTATTAATAATTTACATTTTTATCCTTATGATCTTATATAAGTCATATGATATTAAAATGTGAAAAATTCGTGCGTATTTTTGTTGGTAATAAAATTTCTAAAATTGATTGATTAAAAAAAATATTTATTTGTCACTAAAGTTAAAAAAATTGAGTACAATCGATTCGACTTATAACTTTCCAACATAAATTAAACTATATGCCAATAACATCGTTTAAATTGTGATGAATCATATAACAAAACAAATATATAAAATAACTTATTATTAAATATTAATGGTTCAAAATATTTAATAAAATGAATAAACAAAAATAAATAAAATGATATGGTTTACAATTTGATATAAAAGAAAATATGATAGAGTACATAACAAAATTAAAAGAAAAAAGCGAATATGACGAAACATAATTTTTTTATAAAAAAAAAAGACAATGATTATGATTTATATTAATTATAAAAATTATAAAATAATTTGAAGGTGAAGAACAATTATAATAAATTGATGAAAACAATCGAGAAAAAACAGTAACATAAAAGATAACAAATAGTTTTGAAATAATAAAATTAAACTGAGGATATTTTAGTAAATATAATAATTTTTAAATATCAAAATTAATATTCTCTCCCCTCCCCTCCAAATCTCCCCAATTTGGAGGGAACCAAAAAGTGTGTTTTGGAGGGATTTTGCTCCCCTCCCCTCCCCTCCCCTCCCCTCCTAAAATTTGAACCAAACATATTTAATTAAAATTTTCCCCTCCCCTCCCCTCCATCTACCCCGAACCAAACACATCCTTAAAGATATGGGTGAAGTTTGTTGAAAGTGTAGTTTGGATTGTTGCATCATGTTATTGACTGTGGGAGTGCAATCCGCTTAGCTATTTAGTTTGTACTCAACGAATAAAACTCATAGGAATTGATAGGAAGTTTACAATACAATGAAGTGTACCACAATATGTTTGCATTGTCACTTCTTTCCCGGATATCATTTTTAATTAATTTAATGTTTTAATAAGATTAGAAATCAATTTAACTACAGAGAAGTGTTGCTGTTTGAATGGAATAAACTCGATAAATTGATATTGTTTACTTGTTCGTGTTTAGTTGACTAGAATCATAGAACCAGATGCTAAAGCAATTCATATTATTAAGAAAAACACAGCCTAGAAAACAAGCATCATTGCCATTCCTGAATATTCTTTATTTTCAATAAGAAACATTTTGAGCCATTAAGAAGTGAAAGGATACAATGCATCTACTATCATCAATGCAACACTTATTTTGGAACCAAGAGAGTAACTCAAAAAAACACAACAAAAGAAACATTAACCACATGGTCCTTTTTCTCTGGCTTGAAAACTCACTCAAACAGACTCACTTTGTTGCACAACATCCATCAAAAAATTGGTGAAAAACTCTTCATAAGATGGTAATTTTGCATACCCAGGAAAGTAATTGATATCAATCACAAGGTACCTTCCTGGATTTTTACCATCTCTAATCACATCCACATTGAAAAGATTAAGTCCTAATCTTTCCCTCAACACTCTTGCCAACTCAGCAACCAGACTCTGAGGAGGCATTTCAGCCTTATCAACAACACTGCTACCACCACCCTCCCCCTCGCCCAAGTTGGATATTTGCGAAAACGGCACCGACCCTTTAATCGTTTTGAGCTTCTCTTCTGAAATATCATTCAAAGATTTACGCTTTACGCAATTAAAATGCTTCCCGGCAACGTAAATCTTGAAAATGACCCCACCGTGGTTCACAAACTCCTGCAGCACCATAGGATTATTATCCAAGGAATTAACACCGTCACGGTCGAAAACCAGAAACAGATTATGAGAATCAACAGTCCCGTTAGCCTCCAACGGTTTCGCTATAAAAGGAAACCTCAAACCCTGCTCCTCAATCGAACCGAAATCGAATAATTTCGGTTCCTTGACGACAACTTGGTCGGGAATTTCAACAGTCGCGTTTCCATTTTCGATAGAAAGTTCTAACTGTTTCACTGATTCGAGCATGGTAATGCGATTGTGAATACGGTCTATCAACTCGGGAGGGTCGATGATGACTGTGTTAGGGTTTTTGGTTGAGAATTCGTGTAACTGTTTCTTCCAGTTTTGGGTGTGGAGTTTGTGGATGATGCAGTGAAATGGACCTTGTTGGGATAAGGGTATGGTGAGGTCGATTTGTACGAGATCGATGGAGTGTTGTTTGGCGTAATGGAGGAATGAGGGTTGAATGAAGGTATCGACTTTCTTGGGCTCAAGAGCATAACCTACTCGAGACATATTTGTTTCTTTCTTGATGTGTTGTAGGATAAGATGATGTAATTTAACTTCTCTAAGTTTTCTTAAATAGGATTCAATTGAGTAAAAAAGTAGTATTCACTTTAGAAAGATAACATTTTTTTTTATGAGAATATAGTTATAAATGTTTTGATTTATTTCAATGGTAGGGACTAGATCCTTTGAATTTGACAGTAAAACCAACGATGGATGGAGACTGCTACCAAATAAATAAATTCTTGCATTATACTTCACCTTCTCCATATTAACCCCAAGCCGACATAGCAATGGAAAAACCCCAAAGAATGTGTAAATATTGTCGACTTCTTCACCATAACGTGCCCACAGGAAGATTCTACCTAAAGTAGAGTTATACATGTATACATATCCATTTGACATTTAATATTTGTTTTTGTTTGTATTTAGTTTTTTAAAATTTATTGTGTAATGGGTAGATGGAAAAAAAATGTGCATAGAACATTAATTTTTTGCGATGAATCTTTAGTTCTTGTTATATTGGTCAGCTATCAGTATGTTTTAAAATATATTAACTAAAAAGGGATATTTGATTGTTTGACCTTAAATTTCGAAGTTATAATAAAAGATATAAGAAAGTGGAAGGAGTGTAAGGGCAACTTCAACTCATGTAGCGAGCACGTGAATGCGTCCGACCCATACCTTTCTACTTTAAGCGAGGGTTGTCCAGCCTAATACTGTAAGAATTTAGTTGTAGATACACGAAGATGTGTCATGGCACAACATAAGAGTAAAATTTGTCATTACCCCAATTTTAAGGAGAAAACGGCTCCTTTTATGAAAGAGGAAGGACTGAGTGTTCTTATTCCCACGTTTCAGCCAAACAGTTAGGATTTGAATCGATTCTTCACCCACAACTTATCACATAAACTGTGAATATAAATATTCCAACCCTTAGGATTGGTACAGACATTCATTTTCAGAGATGTACCAAAAAGTCTTCTTGTTTTGTCCTAAACAAGCAGGGATCCCATCATTGTATTTATCACAAGTACAATTGGATCCCACTATGAAGCGTCGGTGAATTGACCTAGGTCACCTTTACTTAACATTCAGTTTGCATAATCACCTTTTCACCATGGTGAGACGAGGCACCATGAAACACCCCCTTTCTATACCCCCAAATAATCAAATAAATTATTTAGGCACGTGTTGAAAATTTCATCAGAGTGTAATTAAAAACACGGTATAAAAGAGACATGTCACATTACGCTTGAAATTAAAACACATACAACACCTGCTCAACAAGATATGCAACAGTGGGGTAACTTTCAAAACAGAGGAACTTAGTCCTTACACCCACATCTCAATATTTAGAATAAAAGCGGAAAATCTAAACATTGAATCACTTCAAACATATATATATATATATATATATATATATATATATATATATATATATATATATATATATATATATATATATATATATACACGTATCATTCAGTTTAATTCACAACATCATTCAACATGTTTTCATAAACATCTCATCAACAGATACATATACAACGTATCACAAAAGAATTCTATACAATCCTACCTACCCGGTGCTACATATCAGAGCCAACCGACCAAAAAGAATGAAGCCACGCTTCACAAAAAGACCTCCAGCAATCCTACTCTGCAATGCCTCATAGAGTATCATAAAACAGCAGAAGAGTGAGAAATATTATCATAATGCATATAATTATATATTTACATAATAATACACATATCACCATTCTCACCACATTCATCACAATTCAATCATATATATATATATATATATATATATATATATATATATATATATATATATATATATATATATATATATATATATATATATATATATATATATATATATATATATAATTCACCAAGCATATTCATCATGCATATATTCACCATTCATTCGTATACATCACAATGTATATATTCACACTAAACATATTCATCACTCCACATAAACATTTACAATTATGTTTATTTACCAATACACAATTCATGATGATAAATGCAACTCATAGAGACCGACTCACAATTCTATGCAGATGCAAATGCAGTACCGACTCAATCATCTCAAGTTCACTCAGGAACTTATTGAAACCATCGCTCACACCCCACATGGGCACACGATGTTCACCCATTGCTCACACTCCACATGGGCATATAATGTTTATGAATTGCTCACACCCCACACAGGCACATAATCCGATTGCTCACACCCTACACAGGCACACAATCGTTCAGCAGATTCTACGCGGAATCAATCAGCACAAGAATGTATATCATGATGTTTCACATGCAAAATGACTCAATACACTTCTTGAAATGCATACATATTCATAATATTTTCATGCATTCATCTCATACTAGCACATACAATCTATGTACATTCATATCAATCATGCCAAACGGCAATGAGCATTGCTTTACCACCCACACGGCTACGAATTCTTATCACATAATCACGCATTTTCATTCAATTCAACAATGCACATAATTGTCAAACGGCCACATTTCACACTTCACAATTCACAATCTAGGATTCACGCCATACGGCTACCCACAGCACATCTTATCACAATAGTACACAAACTATACATTTCAAATAAGCATTAAACACAATCGAACCAAGCAATCAACATTGGATGGAAAACACAAGAAATGAAAAATGTTGTCACACTCGCTGACCTTCGCCTGGCGAAGCATTTAGCGAATGCTCGCTGCTTCACTTGTAACACCCCACTTCCCAAAACAAATAAAATATGAATAACATAATAAAAATCAGAGTTTCCTTCCCAAGTGGGATATCACATAAAAATCACGTTTCCTTATAAAAAAGGTTTTTCTCCAAATACAGCGGAATATTTAAATAATACAATTAAATAAAAATTTTGATACGTTCGCAGGAAAAAAATAGGAGTTCAACATGAAACAATAAAAATGCCCAAGTCCCGTGCTACGTATCAGAGCATCCTAGACTCGACAGTCACACCAATATCCAAGCTAGCTAAGCACCTGGATTATCTGTACTTCCGAAGAAGCACAGACCACAACAACAACAAGGGGTGAGAAATCATGATCAAAAATATAATGGTAATGTAATACATGTAATAAGGCAGTAAAACACACCAACACATCAATTATTCACCCCAACAACACCATATAACGAACCTACTGTTCAAATTACAATATAACATATTATAATGCAATTATGCAACTCAACACCATGCATGCGGTACCGACTCATTGGTTCATTCAATCGAACCTGGATAGATCACTTACGCTCCTCCTGAGACATGATCTATCCCCCACCATTCTCCACAAAGGAGTACGGATGAATCACTTACGCTCCTCCTGAGACATGATTCATCCCACCAAAACACCATGATATGCAAGACACCAATGCATAATTATTATATTCTGGCACGCTAAGTGCACACGATCCTCCTGATCATATCATCATACAACAATGCATATGTATAGATATATTACACCAACACCATATAAATCAATCAGATAGTAAACGAATTCATACTATCACACCGTATATAACTACGTCCCCCCCCCCCACTCGGGGATACACGATCCTACTAATCACTACACACATATACATTAACTAATTGCTCACCAACAATATTAAGGGAAACGCGTACTATCACCAAGTACACAAGTTATATCCCATACTCATCATTTTCACACTACAGCAAGGCTAGAAGGATCACACGAGACCAATTCAGACATCTCACCAAAAGTCTCTGAGGTTACTCAGAACCTCCCTAAACCAACACCTCAGCCTATACACCAAAATCAATAATTCATCAACATCAATCCACAATCACAAACATGCCAATAGATATTATACTTACCAATTATCCTATAATTTCTACTCTAGAACCGACATTACGGTACATTACCGACATTTCAGAGTCACTCTGAATCTCACCAAGGTCCTAACCATAGTCATTAACGACGCTATAGGGAAACAACACATAACTTTTCCCAAAGCTATAATCACGGTCATTGCCAACACTACGGTAACAACACATAATCTCATCAGCTTTATATTCCTAGTTACTATCAACACTACAGTAACATCAACAATCCAACAAAATGGATCAATACTACAGTAACATCATCACCATATATATATATACCCCAAAATGCATCATCAGCATTCATCAATCCCCCAACATCAACAATAATCATAGCATGCCAATATAAAACTTTATATAACGATAAATTCTTACGGGGTTAAGGAATCCCCTCTACCCTATACATGTATAAACCATTCCCAATCAAATTTCTCCCCCCTTACCTTGACAATTGGTCGATCGATAGAATTCCTCCTAGAATTGGTCTCTTGGCCTTCTCCTTCCTCTTCCGTTCTTCGTTCCCTTTTTCCTTCGTTCTTTTTCACTTTCCTCGTTCTTTCCTCTTCTCTCTTTCTATCGCTCTTTTTTCTCAATTTTCTAAAATGTATCGTAACTCTCCTAACCCCTCATATTCTATTTCCCTTTTTAATTATTCTAATCCCAATAATAATAACTAATAAAATAATATAATATTAATAATCTTAATAATAATAATAATACTAATATAATCTTACTAATATTAATAATACCACATATTAATAATAATAATAATAATAATAATATTAATAATTCTAATAATAATAATAATGATAATAATAATAATAATCTTAATAATAATAATACTATTAATAATAACAATAATAATAATATTATTATCTCTCCAATAATCATAATAATACTTTTAATAATAATAATAATAATAACACTAATAATAATAATAGTAATAATAATAATAATAATAATACTATTATTATTATCACACCAATATCCCACGCCTATGGTAATCCCTTTCCTCTCCATTCCAACTTTTCTAATATCTCCTTGCTACCCCTTCATATTTCCTTCCTCACGGTTTCTATCGTGACTTTTCATATTTCCATTCTAACT